TACCCTAGGTTCCGAAGTATTCCGGTTCAAATATTTTTTTTTCTTTTTTTGTTAAAGTTTTTAGTATTGTTTATTAAAGTTATAAAAAAAAATTTATTGTTAATGAAAAAATTTTTTTTTCCAAAAATAAAATCTTCTGAAATGAACCAAGAAAAACAAATGTTTAAGATTTTAAAAGTTTTTAAAACAGTAAATTTTTCTTTGCAAAACTTAAAAAAAATTTAAACCAATGTATATCTATTAAGAAGTAGTGCGACTCCATCCATTCTGTTAGTTTCGTTTGCTTGCCACTTCCAATTTCTAAAAATATTCCATTTTTATTTAGAAATAGAGGGCAATGAGAATTATGCAAGCAAGAAAGAAACAAAATACTGTAAGCAAACGAGTGTATCAAAAACATTGAACTGAAATAAAATTAAATTAAGTTAGGTAAGCATTTTGTACTTTTTATTTTGATAACAGCAAAATTTATTATTTATATGAAATATGAGTTTAAAATTTATATACATATTTATATACAATATTGATTACATTTTAATTTTTTTTTAATTATATATAATTTATATAAAATTTATTTTTATTATTTTTTAAAATTATATTATTTAAATTATAATTATTTTTTTTTATCTCAACACTAAAATTTTTTATTTAATATACTTTATATTTACAAAAAAAAAACGCTTTTATTTGCCTTTAAAATTGCATTGTAAAAAGGCAGGTAAACATCTATTGCGTGGCCTTTCTCTCTCCAAAAAATTCCTATGCGTATATAAATGAAAATAATATAAGGTTAACTATTTTAGCTAAGGGAATTTGTTGTATAAAAAGATTGATGAATGATTTATTAGTGTGATGTAAACGGAGAGTCGAACTGCTTGTTAGATAGGTATATGTATGTACTTTGCTTCAAAAAGTAAGAAAATGAAAACGCCATAATTTTCTCTCATTCTTGTTCAAAAAATATGATCCCAGGCATGCAAAAACTATAAAATTTTTAAAAATATTTCAAAACTTTCTTATACCAGACAGACCTTGTAATAATTAAATTATTTGAAGTTTGAAATGAAAATCTTCCTAAGGGCAGGATTTCTAATTTTAAGGAAAGAGTGAATTCAAAATATAAAAAATACTTATCAGCAAAATTTGGGATTTTTGTTTCTTATTTTGAAAATGGGTGTATAACAGTATAGTCTTAGCAATACAATTTTAACGCATTCCATCAACATTTCCATATTTTAATCCATTAAATTACTAACAACTTATTTTAAAAATAATGCATATATAAAAAAATACAAAAAATTTTTGCTCGCAATATTCCTATTACGTACTACAGATACTAATAAATTTTCTAAACTTTTTCCTTGTCTAAACATTGTAGATGTGGAGCAGCGTTCCCACTTGGATACAATTGTATCCATTTGGATACATTTTTGCTTTAAAATTTAGCTTGGATACAAAGATACTCAAATCTGCTAAAATGTCGAAATTGGCTACATTTTAAAATTTTGCTGAAATATGGATACATTTCTTTCTCGAACACTAAATAAATATTAGAAAACTTTTAAAGTGCTGTAACTTTTAAGTGCTTTATCTTCCAAAAAACTTAATTTGCTGACTAAATAAAATTTGCCCGTTTTCATGCTGAATCGTTTTTACCGCATAGTTCAACAGCTACAGAACATATATTTTCTGACCTTAAATTTTAAAATGTAGTAGAAATTGCGTGTGATTTCTAAAAGAATTTACTATAAATAACGAAACTCACATTGTTGAATAAAGCAAATTAATATTATTTACGAGTTTATTGGTATAAAATAAGACGATTTAGTATAATAATTCTACTTTAGGAGGCTGGATACATTTTGGATACATTTTTTTCTCGAAATTGGATACATTTTGTTTTTATTGAGTGGGAACACTGATGTGGAGCCTTATTCTAGTTGTCGCGTCACTTACGTGACATTTGTCGTTTACGTTGTCACATCATTTGAAATATGGTATTCTAGTTGTCGAGTGACGTGACTGCGAGAAATAAACGAAAATGAAACGTTTCAAGTGAAATTGATACATTTTAAAAAGAAATTTTGGCGAGTAAAGTTCAAACTAAAAAAAAAAATTCGGTGTATATACATATTTATTTTTTTAAATACGAGGAAAATAAAAAATGTCGTCATTTGCATTATGGTTTATGGATTCATCAGACTCCGAGAGTGATGAAATTGAAAAAAAGCAACAATTAAGGATCAAAAGATTTAAGATTAGGGACAGTTCTAATCCATTGGATTTGCCAAATGGAGTGTAAAATAATAATTTTTTCAAATACATTAGTTACAAACATTTTATTTTATTCACAGATTTATAAGCTATTACAGACTTTCAAACCATATATGTATTAAATTACAAAATTTATTATTTTTTATATTTTTATTAAATTGTTTTGTTTAAACTTATATTTTTGGTGTATCCATCTCGCTTGTCACTTGTTAAATACTTTTCGACAAAAAACGTCGTTTCACTACGACATGTGTCGCTCTACAACGACAACTGGAATATACCTGAAACACATTTTCCCGCTATTCCACGACACGTGTCACTTTAATCGCCATTTAGAATATCAAATTCAAGTCGTGACGACAATTGTCGCTCTACTTCGACAACTAGAATAAGGCTCGTGATCTTGAAATATTGTATGATAATGAAAATAAAAACAGTTTGAATACTGAATTTTCTTTTTTTAGTTTTCATGAGAATATAGTTTTCAGTAGCAATAGCGATAATAGACATTTTGAAGAATAAAAATGGGGCATTTATAGAATATGGGCCACAAATAAAATTTGTTAGAATTTGCTGGATGTCGGAAAAAATTTTATCGCTTTTTATTTTACAAAATAGATTGAACGAAATCGTAAGTATAATAATATGTAACATGTTAAAAACAAAACAGAAATAAGTCAAATTTTAGTAGACGGAAATTAAATTTTATTAAATTACTATTATTTTCGGGCTTTCATTTTGCATTCTGCATTTTTATTTAAAAAATAACTTTTTCATATCTTTTTTGTAAATTATACTGCATGTGATTTTTTTTGTTTTTAAATTTTTAATCCATTTTTCATTTGCAATTATTTAAAACATTGCTGTAAAAAGTATGTCATTAAGGTATAAAATGAAATTGATGTATAAATCCTTATCAGATCTTATCTTACACTGAATCGTAGATTGAACTATAATAATATGCAAAATATTTTTCCACTATTTTTGGTAAATATGACAGTTGCCAATACCAATACATTTCGAGTAGAACATCATTAAATTTTTTTTGCGTTAGTTTTGTTTTACTAAAACATTAAAAATTGAAAGTTTGGTGAAGATGATTTAAAAAGTTTGCATTTTAAAATGTTGCTACTGAATATTACATTGTATAAAATTTGAATATGCTTTTCTATATTAAATGAGATCTACACTTTTTCCAATTGCAATTAACAATCCAAACTGAATAAGTCACATAAATGTTTTTAAACGTGTTTTTCCTCATATGAAAATAATCAACATCAGCATTTAAATATGAAATGTAGAAATGAATGTGTGCAGATGCTTCATTTTCATCTTGAAATGAAACTGTAAAAAAAAATAGAATACATTTTCATTTCAAAAGTATATGTCTCTGTAAGTACAGTAAGTACATATGTATCTGTAATTTCAATGCCCTAAAAACTTCTATGATTTCAAGAAGTGAATAACTGTTGATATCTAACTTTGTCAGAAAATTTTTTGGAACAATTGGTTAGTTATAGTGTTCTTCAAGGATTTTTCTTTAAAACTACTGAAAAAATTATTTTCTTTTCTTACATTAGAAAGCGCTCTAAATTTTAAGTTACACTGCATTCATAACTTTTTCTTGCAAAAAATGTAGATGTCATGTTCTGATAGAAAACCCTAGATATAAGACAAAGCTTTTAAACGGCATTAAACGGTAAATAAATCAAATTGCGAACTTATGTATTTAAATCAAAAAAAAATATAACCTTTACTTTTTTCAATATTTAAAATATTATTTTCAGGCATTTGAATGAAATTTTTAAAATACAATTTAAAATGTTGAAGAAACTTATTTCTTAATCTCAATCACTAGCTCGAAACAAATATTTAACGCATTGATGTTAACCTAAAAAGACAGTGAATAGAATTTTTATGGAGACGAAAATATGGTATTGAGTGTAAACATGTTAAATATAATCATTAAATTTAGTTTACGGTATATTGCAATAACGTAAAGCAAACGAAGAATATGATATCACACCAAAAAGCTTTCTGTTGTGTTTTCTTTTAAATTTTCCTAAAAATTGGTAAAAGGATATTTAACCATAAAATTATTTTTTAGTATTGTTCAAAGCATTCTCGCGCAAAGAAGTAATTTTCTATTAAATTGATAATTAAAGTTTTTTTTTCATGCTATATAGTTATATTTATATATTTTTGTGTATATATATACATATATGTATATATATGTATATGTACATATGTATATATATATATATATATATATATATATATATATATATATATTAAACATATATAAATTTACATATAAATTTTATATACACATATGCATATACATTTTTGTGTTTTTTATATGAATTGATAATATGGATATAATATTAAACAATAAAATTTATATATTGTATTTATGTATTTACATATATAAACAAAGTAATGTTAAATGTGAGATACTCTATGCATGAATGTCCTTAAATAAAAAAAAGTTAGTCAAAAAATTTTTAGCTCTTATCAAATTAAAAAAAGAGAGTTTGAAGTGGAAAATTAATGCATACATACTTAATATTAAAAAATATATAAAGAGTTTGAATTTAAAAAAAATATTTACTTACATAAATATTCAAAATGTTTTTAAATTAAATTTACTTGATATGTAAAAAGTGTTGTTTTAATGAAATATGTTTAAATAAATATGTTTGACTTAAATTTATATAACACAGGAAAAACATTTAAAAAAAAATTTAAAAAAGTGAAAAAAACCCAAAATTCAACCAAAGAATTCTCTATAATATATTTTTGAATACTGAAAAGCGCGCATAAAAAACCTCCCCATCAATTTGTCATACGTCCACCCTTAATACTTTATACTTTTTTTTCGTATTGTGTATTTTTCTTTTCGAGTGGTATTTTAACTAATTTTGTGCCTTTTTTGGAAAACCCCTCCTATGTCCTATGTTTTACTATCTTTTTATGTACATACAACATTACACTCTAAATATTCATATATTATTTTGTTAAATAAATACACATACCAACATATTGTATTAATACTTACATAAATTGTTTCTTGTAAGCTTATGTATGGGTTTGTCTTTTTTTTATTTTCTTGTCTTTATTTTTGGGTTACTTTAATCCGAAAAGTTACAAAAGTTAAATCTTGATTGAAGTTTGTAAAGATTTTCTCAAAATTTTTTAAATAAATTTCTATCAATTTGTATTTTCTTGTACGCTTGAGCAATTCATTTAAATTTTTTTTTTGTTAGCATTTTGTGCTTTCATTTAGTTTGTTAAATAATAATAGAATTTGCAGATGCATATATGTAATGTATGCAGCTTTGTGTATTTATTATTTTATCTAAAAAAGACCTTCAAAAGTTACACTATTTTTAGAAGATTTTTGCCTTCTTATTTTTAAAAAAAATAATTCCAAAAAGTTTTGCTTAAATCTAAGGACAATTTATCTATTTTTACAGTAAACTAAATTCTATAAACATGTTTTAATGCTGTTCAACAACAATTTTTTAATATAAAAATATGTCTCAATAATAGTTAATGTTGTAAACAAGAAGGTTTTTTTAATATAAGAATTTTAATGTGCTATACTAGTTCAATAAATTTAAAATAAAATTGTATATATTAAAATGAAACTTTGATAAAATTCTTGCCTTTTACTTATTAAATTAATATTTATTATTGCAGATAAATGATCTGATTATATTGTACCTATAGAAAGGATGAACAATATCCTTTTAACAGTTTTTGCTATATTTTTGTGAAGCATAAAATGCGTTTTAAATGAAGGAAAATAATTTGAAAATTTTCAAAAGATTTATATGGAAAATATAATGCTACCAAAAAGCTCTATATTAAAATTTACATACATATATGTATTAAAATTCACATACTTGAAATAGTATGAAAATTAAAAAGTAGTATAATTTTTTGAAGCAAAACCAAAAACAAAATTTTCTCCAATTTTCTCTGTATTGTGTTGAAAGAGTTTGCGCCTTAAAAAGCTCCAGGTTGAGTTTAATTTACTGAGTTTCTACTTCATTGTATTTTTCTAGTAAGTTGTAAAGGAATACAAGTACGTTACTTGTTTATACATCAATTTAAATATAGAAAAATGTACCGTTGCATTATTTCAATAACGGTGTTTTCTTCAATAATTTTTTTATGTGTAGTGGTAAAATTTTTGAGAACTTTACTTTTTCAAAGTCTTTCATAAACATTGTTAAATATTTTCAATATCAAAAAAAAGGAAAAAGGTGGAAAATACTTTAACTTTAATTTATATTAATTGATTTTTTTTTATAGTATTAAATAACTCAAAAAATTTTTATTCGCCAATATTAATATAGCAAGGAACATTATGTATTTCATACTGTATTTAAAATAATATATTTTTATTTAGTTATATTCTTTTGTGGTTTTAATAAACCGTTTGACAAGGTGACAGTTTTTTGTGGAATACTCTTTAATACAGATTGCTTGTATCGCTTGTAAAATATTTTAAAAATCAAGCAAAGGAATTGCAAAAATATCTGAGAAAATATCTACTTTTTTTTCCTAAATAAAATTGTTTTCATCTTTATTAATTCTTTAATAAAATAATAAATATAAATGAATAAAAAATTCAATTATTAAAAGATTTTAATGAAAAGTATATAAATTTGTACATGCATTATTATTGTATTTTGCAAGAATGCTCAAGTATATATTTTTTTTGAGAATTCCAAAAACTTTAGTATCAGGTTAAAATCAGTTTTTATTTTGGATCATTGTGCGCAGGCTCCTGCAGTAATTTTTTCTCACAACTAATAAAAATATAATATTATAATTTTTTTTAGTGTCTAATTCTTAATTTTTTTCAATTAAAATGCTTTTTATTTTTATGGCATTTTGCAAAATTTCAATTTAATATATATGCTAGACTTGTGTTAATTGTATATGAAAAATCCCATAATAAACTATCAATTAAATTAAAATTAAAATTTTATATGGAAAGTGTACTAAAGAGGTAGTATATGTACATAACATGTATATATTTGATCTGCAGATATGCATATATATAAATTTTATTACACATATGTACATATAATTAAACATTTGAGGTAAATGCATATTATAAAGTTACATTTGAAATATAACTATTTATATAATTATTTATATTTATATTATGCTATATGAATTTTAATCTTTATTCTTCCTATTTAAGTGTGTAAAAATTATAGACAATCTATTAATTGCAATCGTAAAAACCAATATCATTTTTGACGTAAATTATTTATTCAAATTTAATAATAAAAATGTTAATTCTTAAATTATCCAATAGATAAAAATAATTTTAAACACACATAGTCAGAAAATCGGAAAATTGTATTTACAACTATTGCAAATTGGTAAATTGCATTTATACCCATACTTATTGCTACTTCATTTTTTATGTTAATAATTTGCACAAAATTTCAGAAAATATTGAAATTAATTTTTATTTTATACATTATAAAAATGAATAAAATTAACTGTTGAACTAAGATTTTAAAGAAAATTGAAATTGAATTTTTTTTTTGAAAATTGATTTTTTTTTTGTTGAAAACGATATACCTGCATATTATAATCTAGAAATAAAAAATTAGAACTTGATTTGTTTTTGTATGAAAAGTAAAGATCGTTTACCTTGAATTTACTATAAAAATACTATAAGAAATACTACAACAGTCGGAAAAAATATAGACTGTATTGATTAAAATAATAACTGAAATAAATATTTTTACAGCTTATTAATGCATTTCAACATTAAGCATGTAGACATTTTATTCACCCATACTAAAAGTGCATTTTCAAGGACAATATTGCATCATTCATATAATAATAATTGTGAGATAACTTTGCCTTTTGAGCATTTAAAAAATATTTTATACACTTAATCACATAAGCATAAAAGTAAATATATAAGAATGTAGTATGAATAATTGTATACATATAAGTATTATAATTATATACCCAGTTTGTGTTCAGTTTCAAATGCATAATACTATATAATGTACATACATACATAAAATTGGTACATTATATAGGTAATTTAATGTATCATTCGCATACATAAGAGCTTATATACAGGAGTAGAATTAAAAGTACACAAATACCCAAGTCCTTAAAAAAGGAAACAATAATTATGATTAAAAGAAGAAAATAAATTTGAAACAAAAACCTGAAAAGCTTTCATTTGATATAAAATTTTATTATTTCATTATATTTTTCTTCTTTTTTAATTATGTATGTATAAAATATAAACATTATAGCAAAAAATTGTTGGAGATAGACAGACAAAAAATCTTTTATTTAAATATTGAAGACCTCTTCACGCAAAAACTACTCATTCAGACCATCTACATAAAAGAATTATTTATTATATATATTTTTGTGAAATATTTATATAAAAGTCCAAAGAGCTGCGCCGCGCATCCAGGAAATGTCATATTGAAATGAAAAAAAATCTACATAAAACGTTGTTGAATTAAAAGCAACAAAATGCTGTTTTTCATGTGGTAAAATAACTTGTAAATTTTATTATGAATTTAGTTGCCCCAATAAGCTACGTAATTGCTGTAGTTTAAATATTAGTCAAGTTTAAAGATTTGATAACAAAAAGTGCATATGATTATATACACTTGTTATATAAACTCTAAATATTTTTTAATTTTTTTTTTTTTAATTTTGAAACGATTTGGTGAAAATAAAATATCATATAATTTTTATCGAATAATTATGTCCTAGAAACATTTTAATTTGAGGTTGAAGTGTTTTTAAATTGGACCTTCGTTTTATAACTAAGTGTACATATATATATATATATATGTATATATATATATTCTATGCACATACATAATTTATAAATGATACTTAATATTATAAATATATAACTAAACTATAATACTTTATTATAAAATCAATTTTTTGTAACCGGTATTAAACGTGTATAAATTAAAAACATCCATATTTCATTTATATATGTATGTATATATGTATAACGTGCACTTAGGCGGTGGTAAATGTTGTCAAATTACTATTTAAATATAATATTTATTAAATAAAATTTCCAGGAATGAGAAGAATAAAAAATTTTAAATAAATTATAATTTTAAAGGACAATGTAGAACAATAACAAAACAGCTAATTTATAGAATTTATAGAAAGTTGTTATATAATACTGACATTAATATGCATACACGTATTTAAAATATAAAAGGAATAAATACAAGTACCTATAATTGAAATTTTATTTCTTTTTCATCAAAGAAAAGTATTTCTGTCATAAAAAAAAGCTTTGAGAAAGATAAAATACACCAAATTAAATATTATTAAATTTATTTTTTTTGCAAGAAATAAAGAAACATATCTCTCATCAATTTCTTAATATCATACTGTTTTACCATTATAACAGAAAGAAAAAATCGAACTTCTATATATACATATGTATACGTATGTGCTCACACAGCAAAATTTAACCCATATTAATCCATAGAATGCTATATTGTATTTTGAAATTTAAGGATATATGTACATAGAAATATTAAAAAATAAATTTAGAACATATTTATATATACATAAAGGATATATGTACATAAAAAATATAACTGGTAAATATATAGTAAAATACATGCATATACACACATATAAAAGTCCACATTTGGATATTTCTAAGATTTAAGTAACATTAAAAAATGTTTCTTAATTAAATAAAAACGCCACTGAAATTAAATTGAAATAATAAACATTAAAACAAAATCAAAAATATTTGATAATGAATCAGAGTGAAATAGTTATGTACAAGTACAATTGGGAATTTGTGAAGTCTATTTAATGAGATAAGTTTAAATTGAAACATGAAATTAATCTTATAAATGAAAAAAAAATATACTGAAAATTAAAGTGTTATCATTAATTTCAACATCCGCGAAAAAGAATATTTATTAGTGCAGTAGTTTTTTTTGGTTTATTGTTTCTTTAATATTTACGTAAAAATATTTTGAAGTTCGTATTTTAATTTTAATTATTGGTAACGAGCCTATAATTTAGAGTCAAATATGAGATTAAATTTTCAACTTGAAATCAAAATAAATTTTATTAAATGTGGTTTTAAAAAATCTAATTAAAAAAAATCATTTGTTTAGTCAAAATTGTTTCTAAATTATATAATTAAAATAGTATCAAAAATTACCTATATATACGAGTACATATAAAATCATATATATAAAAGTATTTTAGGCTATTGCTGAAAAACACATAAAATAGCAAATATCATAATGGACGCAAATTCTTGGACTTCTTCAATACTTTCGAAATTTTGTCTATTATGTATTTGTTTTATGTCTATAACACTTTTTGGAATATTTGTTACTGCTGATCAAGAGGAGGATATACCACACAACGAGTAAGTTTTGTTTTCTTTTTCATAAATTTTTATTAATTTTCACAAGATTGCCATAAACAAAAAATGTTTTGGGAAAAAAAATATTATATATTGTACACATTATACATTCATACACACTTTGGAAAATAAATTTTTTTTAAGAAAAAATTTTTATATGTTTTTGTAGTTCGGTTTTTGTAGTTTGGCAAGTAATCGCAAGAACATGTTCATCTAGAAATTAAAATAATAAAAAATAAATTCATTTAATTTGAGCAAAAATTTGAATCCTTTATTCATTAAACGGAGAAGCAGCTAAAAAATTACTACTCGAATAACAAATAATTTAATATTATGTAAATTTTTAATTATAATTTTATGTATATACGAGTACATATACGTATGTTAAAATACTGTAGAGAGTTGACATGGAGTTATTTTTGATTATACAGAATAGAATGCTTTCAAAAAAACAAAATAATGCTAGTGACGTTTTGCTTTTTTGGCCCCCCGCGAGTTATGAGAGCTGAAAGTTAAAATTTCTAAAACCATTAAATTTATACATTTTTATAGATTAAGAAATAAGGCAGGCAAAGCCAACTTGACAGTTATGAAGCCTATGAAATTTCCCGACTATAGTGGTGTATTATTGGTGCCAAATACTTTTTTAATTTTCAGTATATTTAACAGCAAAACAAAAATTTTTAAAAATTTTTTCCAATAAATTTTCCATTAATAGTAATTTACTCATACACGTTACTAACCTATATTTGTTTTATGAGAAGCGGTGTCTTGTAATCTGATCTTCATTTTGTCATTACAAAGCGTGGCAAAAATCGCAGGAATAGTATGTGGTCAAAAAACCTGAGATCAAAAGAATTAAAAAAATAATTAAAAAAAGTATTTTTAAAACAGAAACAATATTTAAACTGAAACAATATTCTTTAACTTTGATATTACTGTTAGATTTATACTTTACTTTCTTAACTTGTAACTTTTCTTCTCCAAATTTTAAAGCCTCGCCTTCACTTAACTATTAAATACTCCCAAAAGTTTTAGGTATATCAAGCCTACGAATGAAAATTTTAGATCAAGTTTAAAAAAATGAATAAAGTTCTTTTCAAACAAATTACTTATAATCAAAATTATGTTGAACATTCTGCGCATTTCGATATTATTCCAACGATTTTAAGCTAGTATGGAAAGTTTTATTTTCTTCTTTCTAAATAGAAAAGAGATTTTTTATCATAGTATAATAAAATTGAAGCGATTGATAAAATTAGTTTAAATTAATTAAATCCTATTTTTTTTAATGTTTGATCTCAGGTTTTCACTTGATAGACATATTGCTTCTGAGGTTTTTGCTACATTATGTTATATCAAAATAAAGATCATAATGATAGATTAGTTACATTTAAATATGAATATATAATGATAGGAATTTATTGAAAAAAATTTTTAAATGCTGTCATTGCCTTTATGAAAATATCTCTGAAATTAAAAAAATTTTTGACAACATCGCCAGAAATGGAATTACATGAATTTTAAAATGAGTATACAAAGTTGATTTTGCTTGCCATATTTCAAGAGTCATCAACAAAAATGTAAAAATTAAACGATTTTCAGAAATTTTAACGTAGAGGACTCATTATTCAGAAAGAAGGGCTTAAGAAGCAAAATCCTGCATAGCTGCGGGGAAAAACATTTGTGAATTTAGTAACTCCAATAAGTGATTTTTTTGCGATTTGTGTGTACATAGTTGCATAATAAAATTACATAATATACGTATTTTGTAAAATTATGGAAACTTTTTTAATTGCCATTGTTTTCAAAAATTCGAAAAAAAAATCATGTTTTATTAAAGTCATTGAATATTAAATTATCAAATATAATTTTGTTTTTTCTATTTCAGAGTTCACAATTGGGCCCTGAAATTTGGGGTTGATCTTTGGGAATTTGGTAGACAGTTTACAAAAATGAATGATATTAAAACTGTAAGTAAATTGTAGAAATTTTTGTGAATATAAAATTTTGTATTTCTTTTCCTATTTAAAAAAAAGACACTTTTTTTAAATACTAGAAACAATTTTTTCAATTCGAAAAATGATATTTTATTTTTGCGAGTATGTTTCTGCGCAACATGCTTTATCAGAGCTGATTTTCTTTTATTAACACAACAATATTAACAATCTTTTTACGTATTTTATTTTTTGTTAAAACTAAAAGGGTCATAATCATTTTGCAATGTAAAATGTTTGAAAATATCTTTTTTAAAAGCCGGGTAACCACATTGAACTTATCCTAAATTAGCATGCATTCCTTATTGAAATAATATCGTTATCATCAGATATGAGGCTGTAGGTGAGCAAGACAAGTACTATAAACGTAAAAAAATTAACTGTCCTGATTGTGGCAACATTTTTATTTTTGCTCCAATTATTAAGTACGCGTTCTGTTCCTGGTGCGTCATTGTATTTTTCGAACAAAGTAAATCTAACAAAATATATTTACCCTCGGACATAATATGCCGTCCCTCATACATTGTACTTGTGTAGCCAAACTACGCTAAACTAAGCATTAGCTAAGGAGAAAGCTTTTTTTTTAATTTTACTTCTGCATGCGAGTTCAATAGACCAGCATTATTGGTTAAGTGTTTTGTTAACGAAATGTAAGCCCTTTTTTCCCCGACTATAAATGCATATAATAAATTCAGTTAGTACTAAATTAACTAGAAATTTAGAACAAAGGTCATTCGATAAGTTATAGTGAAGACCCACAGCTTTTTTGATCGTGAGTAGGCTTCCTAAGTGGTCTTTGGCCAATGTTGAAGATATAGCTCGGAATTGTCCAATTCGTGGAACCTTATTATGTGACTCGATTTTTTTGAAACAGTTTTCGTATTCGAAAAAATGGTAAGGTAGTACCAGTCAATTTGAATGCTTTCATTTCTGGGAATACGAAAATTGTTTCACGAAAATTCAATTACATATGCAATAAGGCCTCTGCAATTGCCAATTATATTGAATACCGTCGATAATATATTGGAAGTTTGGTTATGTTCGGGGATTTTGGGAAACCGGGGGACCGAAACAAATAATTAGGAATATTCATACGAAAAAATTTTCTATTTTTTAATGAGAAGTTTTGTAATCGGAAAATAAATACTAAAGGATGAAACGATATGGAAAACAGATGCTTCGTTCCACGAAAGCGGACAGAAATTCGTTTACTCACTTATTTATGAAATATTTTCAATATAAATTATAATTTCACAAGTGACTTTTAAAAAAATTGAGGTTTTTAAAACTATTTAACTTTTCTTTATGTATTGTTTTTTGAAGAAACATTTTCTTTTTTGAATTTTGCAGTATGATGGTTGTTGAAAAAATTAGTTATTTTTATTTTAAAAAGATAACTAAACAATAAAATTAATAAAATAACGGTAAAAAATCGCAATCCATGTTTTCTGGAATCAAATATGCAGATAAAATATGAATACTTAAATAAATTCAAAGATTTTATGGTGTTTAATCTGCTAACAAAGCTTCGAGTTTTAATCAGATGACCTGTAAGAGTAGATTTTTCTCCCAGATGGCAAATATCTTCTGTATATTCTCTTTCTACTTAAACTAAACATCTAGAAATGTAGCCGAATATTTTGCCATAATATGGCGCCATTAATGTGGGCTAAACTGAGTTTTATTTTCAGTTCTTTATAAACCAATAAAGTTAAATTTTACATGTCCCTTCACTCTGCAAGAGATATGAAATTGAAGTGACTCGTCAGTCTTAAAAGCAAAACAAGAACCGAGTACACTAAGAGAAACTAGCTTTTAGAATTTTTTGTTTTTTTTTTTTTTTTATAAATGATAACTAAGAACATGACCGTGTATCTCGCCAAGTGAGAGGGAAGTGAGTGAATATTATTTGTATAACGTAATTTTCGAGTGAGAAGAATTTTTTCACATTGCGTTTTTCTAAAAGATATAGAAAATTTAATTATTATTGATTTGCTTTGTTTTTAAAAGTGATAGATTTAATAGATATTTTTAGAAAGAGTGTAAAAATCTAATTGAAAAAAGAGTAGTATTATTCGAAAATAGACATATTTCAGTACGATGTTTTCAATATTTTCTAAGATATGCCAAACTACTATTGAAGTTGTGTGGCAACTACCAGAAAGAGCCAAGCAATTTCAATATTCACTTGTGTGAAATTTCAATATCACAGTTTTTGAGATAGAGGCCAAATAGCTTTTGAAGTTGTATGGCAGCTACCAGAAGGAGCCAAGAAATTTCAACTACTTTTATCAAGCAAATCGGATTTACTTATATAATATTTACTTATTTGAAATTTCAATACCACAGTTTTTACACTTTCTGAGATGTAAGCAAAAACGTTTGAAGTTGTATGGCAGCTAACAGAAGGACCCAAGCAATTTCAACGATTTTTATCAAACACATTTGCCCTATAAAATATATTTACTTGTGTGAAACTTTAGCATCAAAGCTTTTATAGTTTCTAAGATATAGTCAAATAAATTTTGAAGTTGTGTGGCAGCTACCGAACCAGTACCCCAATTATATCTAATTTAAATAGAGTTCTGGCATTTGTTATAATAAATCATTTGTGAAAATTTGGTAAACTAGCTCAATTAATTTTTGAGTAATCTTTGGACGGACGGACAGACAAAGCTAAATCAACTCAGAAATCAACGCTGATTAAAAACATATACTTGAGTCTGTATCTCAGACTATTACTTTTTAGCGTTACAAACGCTAAGGCAAATTTAGTATACCTTTCGAACATAAATACGTACGCGTATAATGAATATTCTTATTTAAAGGTGAATAATAAGCGAGGCGAAAAATCGAGACACGCAATTTGCTTTTAAGTAATCATTCAAATGAAGTAGAAACACTATGAAAGTACAATAAAATATGAATAGCTAGTCTTATAGTTTTTTTATAGAAAAAAGTGAAGCTAAAATTCAGAGGGTCTTTGGCAAGTAAAAATGTTGTTTTTCGTATTGCCATCTCTGAAAAATATTAAAATAGGCGAAAAAAAAGTTGTGGGAAATTGGAAAAAAACTTCGATTTTAAATGCTTAATTTTTATTATATGTACATACAATTTTTATTATATGTAAAAAAAATAATTGTATACATTAAAATAGGAAGGTTAAAGATTGTACAAAAGAGTACATAAATTATTTTAAGTAAAAAAGATTTAACTTTATACCGTCCGTATTGTGTATGCAATAGGTAGGTTATGTGATAGCAAAGAATTTTGCACATCGAGTTTTCTTTCGGTGGGAATGCACTTCTCCATGGTATGGAAGTGTAAATAAACTATTTTTAGCAACCTGTCGGTCTGTCGGTCTGTAAGTCTGTCGGTCTGTCCATCTGTCGGTCTGTGTGTGTACGCGTGTATATCAAGTTCTTCTGAACCGATTTTGATGAAATTTTGAATGTAATTTTTTTTCAACTACAGCACGGATTGATCAACTTTTGGGATATATCAGGCCTCGACACCTAAACCTTTCAAAGGGCCTGTTTTTCCAAGACATTATACAATATAATTATTTTTCTTAACTCACACAATTACCCCTTAAAATTGAGCATTATATTAACCCCTCTTTAAATTAATTTTTGCTTCATTTCAGACTGCATAAATCGTTAATCCATAATATATGCAATCCTAGAAATAGTTTCGTTTATGAATGAAAATAATTTTAATAGTGCGGTAGGTGTACATAGACTGTATTTAAAAGCAGTATTTTCACTTGTTGAAGGGAAAAGTGCTACAATACAAACCATTGGTTTGACTCAACTTTATTTATTTTAAATACGATTTTTAGGTAGTGCAAGCGAGATAGAAATAAAGATGCTCCTTCTTTAAGTATTTCTAATTCATTGAAGCATATTACAAATTTTTAAATTTTATGAAAACAAAATATATATATCTCAAGTTCGGCTGAACCCATTTTGATGAGAATTTATCAGATCTTTTTACGGGCCGATCTTACATTTTGATAATTTTTAAGAAAATATTTAAGATTTTCTTTAAATTTTATATACATATAAGCTTCTCCGGACTGAACCAGAAAGCACGTCACTTCTGGAAGAAATAAGATGTCTGCAACTGAGCTTCTTCTACGGATTAAATTTAGATTTTGTGCATATAAGAAGAAATAATTAATCCTTGTAATTTAGTATTTATAGGTGTTAAAACAATGAACATAAGTTTTTCGGGAATATCACTGCGTGATACGTTGAATTAATTTATATTAACGTTGACATTTTAAAAAAGGTGAAATGTTGTTTCCATAAAAGACTGGCTTAACATGACTATTAGTGCATTTTTGTTTTATATAAAAAAATATGATGTATTTTTTAACTAGTTAAGTAAAAGTGTTACACAGAAGATTATAAAAATTACTTTAAAACACTTCTTTCCAATTTTTAGGGATTTTAAATTTGACTCTTAGTAGAGTTTTGGTTTGTATCGGAATTCCCGAAAAAGCCCGCCAGTTAGTTTGTGTAACAATCAAAACTCAAATATCAAATTTCAGGGAATTTCATTAATCCGCTCCGTAGATATGGTAAAAAATGTAAAATCGGACCCCAGTCTGGTTTCCGAGTCCCGATCGTTCCAAAAAATGTATATGTTAATTGCTTTAATACTCCAACCTTAAGTTCGGAGGTCGGATAAGGTTTAATAAGGTCGGTAACAACTTAACTTAATGGAAATTTCTTCATGCAACTGCAGAACAGATGGATGACGTAATCAAAGGAACGAGTTAAAGCAGAAAAATTAATTAAAAAATTTTTCTCCTCGAACTGGACTCGAACCAGTGACCTACCTCTTTCTAGGCGGACGCTCTACCAACTGCGCTACAGAGGCATGAAGAAACAACCTAAAATGTCAAGAATTTGAATATTTATAACTCTCGCATATTTTGTGCTGAATAATCTTAAATTTTTTTTGCGTGT